TAACGGCACTAGCCGTGGCGTCAGAAGGCGCACGAGAGGAAGAGGAGGGTTGTTGAGAACACGCCATGATGGAGGAGTGGAGGCGCACGAGGAGGGATGTGAGAGCAGAGGAGGAGCTGGAGAGCGGGGCAAGCAGATTCTAGAGAGAGGACGGAAAAAAGAGAGAATGAGAGTTGGTGGAGGGATTAAGGAACTTATAAGGGGGAAGGAAGAGAGAGAGCGAGTAGGCGGGAAGGAAGATGAAAAGACTATTTCAGTCCGCTTTAAATTTGAAATTTGAATTTCGAAATTTAAAGCGGACTGGGGGGAGAGATGAGGGTAAATCTTATAGGTGTCAATCAGGCGGGTTCGGGCGGGTTCAGTCGGGTCGCGGGTTAATCGGATTTCGGGTCAAACGGGTTGCGGGTCAAGCGGGTTCGGGTTGATTGGGTTGCGGGTTGATCGGGTTCAGTTTGATCGGGTTGCGGATCAGTCGGGTTACGGGTTGATCGGGTTGCGGATCAATCGGGTTTGGGTTGATCGGATTGCGGGTTACAACAGGTCGAGTTACGGGTTGTTCGGTCCACACCATCGAGTTTTTTTTATAATTAGTTATTACACTTTTTTTTAGGGAGTTATTACACTAATTTAAAACAAACTCACCGATCACCATATTGCAATGAATAAAACATGAATGTACATTATTAAACAAATGAATGACTAGATTTTGCTTGAATATATCATAAACAAGTTTGATGTTGCTAGTTGTTGGTACCTTGATTAAGGTTACAGAACCAACATAAATAAATAGTTGAACAACAAGAAATTAAAAAGCTGACAACTTGTTTGATCATAAACCTATGAAACCATCTCTTGAGTCTAGATAGTTGAGAGTTGAGACTGTACATGGGCGCTGGGCCGTGCTTGGGCCGGCACGGCACGGGCCCATCTCGTGCCCATATTTTTCGTGTCGTGTTAGGCACAACCCATTAAATTTTGTGTCGTGCCATACAAGCCCATTTAACAGTTTTATTAGGCCCGGCCCGGGCCCAAGCACGAGTCAAGTCGTGCCGTGCTTGATCATGTCTATGTCGTGCTTTTATTTTATTCACATTCGTGCTTATTCGTGCTTTCTAGTATAATTTAACTATCATTCTTATTTTATATGGTAACACACGCTTTTAATATTCCTTACTCAACTTCATCTACAAAATATTACCATTTTATTTTTTTTCTCAACTCAATATTCTGAACTATAAGACGGCAAGTCGGCAACACTTGCTCCTAGCCAAAATGTCATTGATCTCCAAAACATTCAAATGAAATGTCATTTCAAAGTTCAAACTAAATGGAAATTTTTGGGGGGAAAGTGTGGGATTAGAATTTGTGGAAGGTGGGAAAACAATGGCGGGTAGTACTAGTGAAGTGACTAGTGAGTAGAGTTGGAGCAAGTGGGTTGGGGGAAAAATAAATATAAGGAATAAAAAGAATTCAAAAAAAAAATATATTTATAATGCAATGGAGTATATTTTTATTACTATATAATAACTACAATTTTTTATTACAATAATCTGAATAATTAAATAGATTATACCATTCATAATATAATAATTGTTTCTTACAACAAAATTACAATTCTAAAATGAAATTTTTTATAAAATCAAATTAAGATGTACATTTGAATATGATATATTTAAAATGTACATTCACAAGTTAAATTAATTGTTAAAATTAAATTAATTAATAAACTATAAAAAAATAAAATATCTATCACAAAGCATAACCATGAAGAAACCCTAACCCTAAACCCTAACCCTATAACACCATTTTAAATCTGAAACCTAAAACTAACCTTAACCATCAACCATACATTATCCTAAATCACAACATTAAGTAATTAACCCTAAAACTAACCTCAACCCTTAACCATAATTCCATAACCCAAACATCCAAACAATGAACTCTAAACCATGACCTTATACGGCTATACCCTATAGTATAGTTATATGTTATGAAATTGTTGGAATAAGCTACAACGTATGTTATGTGAAGAATGTTAGTTGAGTCAATTTTATATTCGGTTATTGAGAAGAACATATGTCCTATGACTCCAAACTCTAAACCACGAGTCCACTACCGTATACCCTATGCTCTAACCTTAAACCATGAACTATAGTTATGTATTATGAAATTGTTGGTTATTGAGAGAACATATGTCCTGCGACTCCAAACGTTTAATATCCGTATTTAATGAAATGAATTATTAACTTTACTATTTTTACATATTGATTTATTTATAAAAGTAATTAGTTTTATATATTTATAACTATTAACGTACTATTAAACGTAACATTTCCTAAGAGACGAAGTATAATACCCGTAAGTATTTTATACGTAACTTTCTCGTACCATATTTTACTAACTATGCTATACATTAAGTGAATTTTATGTATTATTAACTTTACTATTTTTACATATTGATTTATTTATAAAAGTAATTAGTTTTATATATTTATTACTATTAACGTACTATTAAACGTAGCATTACCTAAAATACGAAGTATAATACCCGTAAATATTTTATACGTAACTTTCTCGTACCATATTTTACTAACTATGTTATACATTAAGTGAATTTTATTATAAGTTGACATAAAAAACATGTTAAAAAATTTATGTCTCTACTGGGCTTTGAACCATGTCCCTCGGATGGGAAAGACCAACACAAAAGCCAGCTAGTCCACGTAATTGATTTGTTACAATTTGAACTTGTTGTTTATTTCATTCAACTAAAAGGCAGAGAGACCAGAAAGTATTACGTGATTCAATTTACCAAGACAGTGAGACTATTATGTGATTCAATTTAATGAAAGTTGTCATTTGTCAACACAAAGTAAACCTTTGTTCTTGGTGGGAAAGATGAAAAAATAATAGGGCAAGTCAAGTAAACTTTATATATATTATTTACATATAATATTTATGCACAAAAATATATTATGTAGTATTATTCGTGCCAATCGGGCGGGTTCGGGTTGGGTTAATCGGGTTCGGGTTAGTCGGGTTACGGGACAAGCGGGTTGTGGGTCAAGCGGGTGCGGGTCAAGCGGGTTGCGGGTCAAGCGGGTAGCGGGTTACGCGGGTTGCGGGTCAAGCGGATTGCGCGTCGGGCGGGTTGCGGGTCTTTGACTTTTAATCCAATCGGGTTGCGGGCGGGTCGCGGATCGGGTTGGTTGGGCGGGGTTACTCGGGTCGGGCCATGTTTTGACACCTATAGTAAATCTCAAAGGAGATGAGGACACGGAAAACGAGGAAGAAAATCGGACAGACAAAATTGATTAGAAACGGATAAGCGCACGGCCAAGATGAGGCGCATGATACCAAAAAACGGTGTGGGGAATCTCAGGTGACACGATGACCCGAAAAGAGAGGGAAGTCAGGAATGTGTAAATACGGAGGGGAGGAGAGGTGCACGGTCTAGAGAAGGCGCAGCATATCCAGCGTAAGAGGGGACGACGCGGGAACAAAGTCGATCGTAGGAGGCGCATTATCACGGTAGAGGGGGAGGCAAAGAGTGCACGCGTGACAAAGGAAAGCCAGGGCATAAAAAATCGTCCAGGGAGGCACACGATCATCAAAAGAATGAATACGCAGCGGAGGCGCGGGGAAAAGTGGGAAAGAGCACAGTTAGACCCCTTATCGCAAACATTAGGCGCCTTACAACGAGACTATTCTTGGGTGGTGTAGACATGGTCCAAGGAGGAAGACCTAATAACCAAGGAGAGGAGGCCCAAAGAAGCCCACAAAGAAGTTGGGCATGGGCCCAAGTGTGCACAAAGAGCATCCCAAGAAGTTTGGTGACAGGCCAGACAGGTGGGGCCCGACGCCTGACAGAAGACACATGAGACAAAGGACACACAACGGTCGAAAATGTACGAAAAGCTAACTTCATGATGTCAGGCGCCCAGAACCTCTGACAGGGGAGTCAGGTGGTTGAGGCGCATAGTGGTAAAAGAGTACGATGCATTTATTGCTAAGATAACGTACAACGAAAATGAGGGGCGACGGTCGGCAAGGCTCATAGTATAAATAGTGAAGTAGGTGAACCTCATTTAGTCGGTTCGAGCTTTCTCTCACTAAACTTCTCTCTCTAAAGTTGAGTGCTGACTTGAGCATTGGAGTGCCAACGGACCTCGGCGATCCACTCAGTGGCGGATACATGCATGGTTAGGGGTGTCCCGGGACACCCCTAAAATTTGGAAACACGATTATTCAACCTACGATAGTAATTTGCGTATGAGAAAAAAATGTTTAAGTGGTAGTGTGGGACACCTTTAAAATTTGGGAAAATGATTATCCAATCTCCCGTAGACTCCGTAGTAGTTTGCGTATTGGTATAAATAATATTTAAGTAGTATTTTATGTGATTTAAATTTGGGACACTGCCACTATTAGTTATTATATTTTCAATTACGCTACAACTCATTTGTTATTGTGTTTTAGATCCAAATATAATAGTAAAATGTTATTCTTATCTCAAATTATTTTCAAAACCTAACGATTAAACTCAATTACGGGATATCCTTGTCTAGTAAGATATGTCGAGAGATATTTGTTGAGCAGTATAAACACCGAATGCATTTTATCATTTGACGAAACACGTCTAAACTTTTAATGAAACTTTTATTAGTTAGATATTTTCATATTTAATAATTATTTAATTTAATTCTAATATTTAATTTAATTTAAATTTTTATAGAGGACACCCCTACGTAGAATTCCTGGATCCGCCACTGAATCCACTATGCGCTTTGTGTGCAAGATAGCAGGCGTCCCGCTGGAGAGAGACAAGAGGCGTCGCATACTTGGAGGAAGGCGGAGGGAAGAGGCGTAGGACTACGTAAGCGAGGTTATTGGCTCAAACAGTTATGAAAATGTATTTTGCCAAATTTATGTTAAACAAATAAAATAAAGTCAATTGGAAAAATATAGAAATTTAAAAAAAAATCTGAACAATCATATGGCTCGCTTACAATTAAGGGCAAGATCAGAGCATGATTATGCACCCGCCCAGGCCCGAGAGAGAGATAGGGGAGGGCCGAGGTCAGGGGCCAGGGCAGCCAAGCAGCCAGTCAGCGCCTCCAGAGAAAGAAACGTAGAGAGGGAGAGCACTGTCCAACGAACAAACAATTAGCTGATAGATAGCCAAATCCACTCCTTTCCTCCACACACACGCACACACAACACAGGCACGCAGAGCTCCAGAGAGAGAAAGGAGGAAGAAAATTACAGTGAAAGTACCGGAGCTCCATATCCAAGACAGTGTTGCTAGATTACCATCTTGCCTATTTCAGCTGCTGCTGCTTGCTGATTCCCCACCCTCTTCCTTTTTCCTATCCCTCTCTCCATTATCCGATCTCATCTTTTTCATCTTCTCTTCAATGGATCCGTTCGACCTTGTTCGTAAAGGTACATTTCTTCACTGGCGAGCCTCTTCTCTCCTGCTTCCCAGATCTTTTCTGGGTTCTAGTCAATTTCTCTTCTTTTCTCCTCTTCCCTTATGTAGTTTTTCCGTTGAGATCTATTACAATCGGTTGCTCAGTCGAGGCTTGCTTCTCCTTCTGCTTGTTTCTTTCAGCCCCTCTTTATTGGGGCCTTTTAGCTGTTTTTGGCTGCGGATGATGTTTTGAAATCTATTGTTCGAAATTCGGTACTTTCTAAATTAGGGTTCCCTCTCTCTCTTGGCGTTTCTCTTTCTTAAAAAACAAATGTACAGACTTTGCTTCTTTGGGCTGTGGGGATTCTGTTCCTTTAATCTATCTGTTGATTATGAAGCTTTTAACCTTTTTTTTGTGTGTTTTAGCTACAACTTCAGCTGCATGCTAATTCTGTAAATTTCAACCGCTTTGTTTCTTTAACTGACTCTTATTTAATGTTATTGGTCTCCTCAATGTTGGCTTCATGGTGGGTTATTCTTCCCTTGGACTCACAAAAGCGAAAACCCCATGCAAGCGGGGGAAATTATGTAATGGCTTGGGTTTCCCTGCTTCTTTTCTGCTGATGAAAAGCTTATGCGTAATCAATTTGAATTGCTCAAGCGTCTGTTGGTAATTGGGTTCCGCTATCCTTGGTTAAGATTAAGTAGTGCATGTTGTTGTATGTGATGGTGTATGTTTTGGCTGCTGCAGATATTATGACTACTTGAATTGTTGTTCATGTTGATCTGTGGAAAACTGGACTGTGGATCTCAATTAGGCAATAAGTGATGTTGTATGGTTCTCGTGATTAATGGGAATCCACTTTGATGTTTCTGCAGGTTTTGGATAAGCCTGTGGAAACTCTTCCGATTACTCTTTCGTCAGGTGTCCTTTTTCATTTTGTAATATAGGAGAGTTCTTGTTCCCATTTAAAAAGAAATGAGCTTATCCAAGAAAGTGTCTCAAAGTAACGACACAAGCATTAACTTCACAAGCAAGGCTACGGCCTTGAATCCAAATGCCGTAGAGTTTGTTCCATTTTCCCTCAGATCACCTGGAAGTACTTCAAACACAGCTGATGCAGCTCCAAGGTTTGCCGCTTCTGCCACAGTTGGGAAAGCAGCTCTCAATCGTTCAGAGTCATCTGTATCTAATGCCTCTGATGAAGAAGCTCATCGGTTCTGGTGCCACCAGCTACCTGATGATATCACTCCTGACTTCAAGGTGATGGGCGAAGATGATTCTCAAGGATACGATGTCATTTCTTTGGCAGGCTTGTCTTTGAACGATGGTACTGAAGCCTCAAGGTTCTCTGCTTCTGTCAGCAATGGGTATGTATTTAATGGACAGCAACAACCGTCTCCTCGCCATCAGCATGGTAGCATCTTTGGTGACAAGATGAAGTTTCCTGCTTCTTATGTTGAAGATATGGCAGCTGGCAGTCTTTTGAATATTTCCGCGAAGCCATGGGACAAACAAGTTATGAACACTGATCACCTTCTTGGCAACGGGAGGGAGATAACTCCTCACAGTGACAATTCTAGACATGGATTCATGAATGACATGTTAAATGAACAGGCTATGATGGATGGGACAGAAACGAATCCCTTGGAGTTTCTATCTTCTCAGTTCGCTGGATTTGCTGCAGAAAGCCTTGCAGAAGTTTATTTCGCGAATGGGTGCGACTTAAATCTCACAATCGAGATGCTCACTCAGCTAGAGGTCGACTCTTTTATCTAATTCTATTTGCTTGGGATAATTATTTTTGTAGCTGTATCTGGTTGCTAATCTCTGGTGTAACTTTCAAACTATTATCTTACGTAAATCATGTAATCTCGAATTGTTCATTTGTTTCCTAACTACTAATATGGATGTCAGCTCAAAGCTAGAACTGCAGCATACGATAATCATAACTGGAAATAGCTGCTAAAAGATATTAAGTAGGATGTATACGTGAATGGAAGGCTTGATGACGTTTCCTAGTGTCATCTCTAGTGATTGTGAATATACCAACTTCTTTCTTTCCTGATATACGTGTCATGTATGCTTTTTTCCTCATAAAATTCCAAACAATTGACACAAAATTAAGTTCCATACTAATTAGTTCTTACATAGCAAATTGATTTTGGATTTGAGAGCATATAGAGCATTACCTCTTTACATCTTACGCATTTTTCTCCCAGTTAGTCGGCCTCCTAACTTCTGGAATTTTTCACGTGGCTGTTTTTGTCTGACTTTGTCATGATGAGGGCTGTGTAGATCCAGTTGTAAAGGTATTGCACACAACACTAGTAATGGTCACGTTCATTGACATTTTAGACAAAAGCAATGGATGATTGCAATAAATTTCAGGCTTTGCAATGTGTCTTACACCTTGGGAAGTGAAATCTGGATGCTGTATGGGCTCTGGGGCAATCAGTCTGATGAGAGTATTTTTTTTTCCTATAAGGGTGATATATGCTTACTTTTTGTGATTAAGGTACTACTGAAGGGATTCGAATCTGGGACCTCCAGGTTCTAGGTTAGTGGTATTACCACTAGGCCAATCCCTTGTTTGCGCTTGATGCGAGTACTTTTTACTGCATTTTTCTAAAAAGCTTATTAGGGATATCAGCTGTTTTGTTTTGCTGTATGTGAGGAATTGGTGCTATATCTATAACCTTCAACATGAAAATGTTGGCCATCATATTACTAGTAGGTGTGGTAACGTTTGCTTTGGAAATGAACATTTGATGGATACACGAGGTATGGATGATCTGTTTCTGAATTGCAGCTTCAGGTAGATGGTTTCACCCAGAGTATGAACTCAAAGGCTTTGTCAGCTCCAAATCTCACCGCAATGGACTTCCCTGCTCTTTCTATGCAAGAGAGTCAGAATGGCTCATCAAAGTATGCTAGAGAGGATATTCAGCAAAGTTTGAATTCATCATATCAATCTCCTGAGAAAGAGAACATGCTCATGTTCAAGTCTGGTGCATCTTTCCCGTCCAGAGGTGCAACTGATTTTGCTTCTGCTGTTAGGAAAATGGCCCTTCAAGATTCTAATGTTTGGAAATATGAAAGAAATGGTTCTGCTGATTCTTCCACAGTGGGTTCAAGCAGAAGTTCGAATGTTTTGGCTAGTGCATATAGTAGTGCCCAAGGGAGAGGCATGTATACGGATAGGTTACAGAATCATACTTCTTCTCGAGCCTCTCCTGTCTGGCTTGAAACTGGAGAAGCAGTTGGTAATATTCTTCAGTCATCAATGTTTCTTTTCCTCTACCTTTTGATTTGTGGGCAAATGCATGTATATTTGCTTTAACATTGTTGAGATGGCAGCAAATTTGTATTCTGAGATGCGGGAAGAAGCACGTGATCATGCACGGTTGAGGAATGCCTACTTTGAACAGGTAATAACCCTTTGTAGTTTGTAGCTAGGCTTCAGTTCTGGACTTTCGCCGTTTGTCAATAAAATACTCTGGGCATTCCGTCCTCTGATCATATAATAATATATATTTAGTGAACAAGGGTTTGGTTCAGTGGTAGCTGGTCTTGAATCTGGATATCTCAGGTTCGAATCCCTTAAATAATACCTAATTAAGAAACCAAGCCTATATCACAGGAAACTTGAATGATTGGCATTGTTATAGACATAGAGGCTAAGTATAAAAGGTCTATTGTAAGTGTATTCCTAGTGTGAAAATTTTAAGCGACTTCCGTAATATTAGAGTATTATGCATTGAAATTAGTTAGCAGACTGAGGAACAAACTCTAACATGCCAGTCTGCTCGTATTTTTAACCAAGTGTAGACCGGTTGTAAATTGCGCGTAATTACTAGTTGTTTGGTTCAAATAATGTAAAAATGCATTTTGTATTTACTTAATAAACAGGCACGCCAAGCATATCTAATAGGAAATAAAGCTTTGGCAAAGGAGCTGAGTGTCAAAGGGCAGCTGCACAATGTCCAGATGAAGACAGCCCATGGGAAAGCACAGGATTCAATTTACCGACAGAGGTTGGCCGAGCCAACGCTCTGAACTCTGTGTTTATCCTTTACTGGTTTGCAAGAAATGTTTGGTTAAACATGGTTTCATTTTTTTTTTTTTTTTGCAGGAACCAAGGTGCCCTGGAGACACTGGGAAATGGCAGAGTTGGACATGAGCGGATGATAGACCTCCATGGTCTGCATGTAAGTGAAGCCATTCACGTGCTGAGGCACGAGTTTGGTGTTTTGAGGAGCACTGCCAGACCTGCAGATCAGCGGTTGCAGGTTTATATATGCGTTGGAACAGGGCATCATACCAGAGGCGCTCGAACCCCTGCACGACTTCCGATTGCTGTACAGCGGTATCTGCTTGAAGAGGAGGGCCTCGACTACTCCGAACCCCAGCCGGGGCTCCTCAGGGTAGTGATGTACTGATGAGCTGGAAACAGACATGACATGTTTGAGGTATAGGAGTTTTTTTTTTGACACCACATATGCAAGATCCATGCTAGTCATAGTCTTTGTCAATCTTTAGTCATTCTTGTATCTGTACATGGGAAGAGAAACGGAAGTGAATGTAGATGATGAAATCCAGAAAATAAGAAAAAGGAAAGAAAAGAAAAGGAGAAGCAAACAAGTCACAGACCAGTTGTAAGGTTAGGAAGGACGGTGAGAACTGAAAAAAGATGATAGGAGAAGTGTATGATTAACTGTTTGATGACAGCAGTACATTTTGGGTAGCCAATCAGGGGCGGATGATTTGACATCGGCCAATCAAGACCCTTTTTGCAGCCTGTCCTGCATTTTGTTAATTTTGTAGCCTAATCTTTATTGTTTTGTACTTTTGTTTATACTGTCTTTTGTATGCTTCATTTCTCGGGGAAAACGGTCAAAGAACCTTGCACTTTGTATAAAATAGTAACAAAACTTTGATTTTGTACATTTCAATAAAACATGTTTGGGCAAATAACACCTCCATCCAAAATTTTGGGTAAATTGCAAGATTGGTCACTGGGTTTATTAAAAAGGTTCACGTTTAGTAACTAAAAATATTTATAGGTCGTTTGGATGGATCAACATAGAAATGAGACAATTTGATCAATTGTTTCATTTTATAAACGAAGCAATTAAAACGAGTCAATTCGAATTACCTGCCCTCATCCCAGACAATTGAATTTGACTCAAAACAGATCAATTCAAAATACCTCATGCAAATTGATCCATCCAAATTTGTTGCTGACAAACGAGTCAATTTGGTACAATTGTCTCAAAACGAGACAATTGCGTCAAATTGATCCGTGACAATTCCTCATCCAAACGACCCCTAATTCTGTTCATGGTCACTAAGATTAGTTAAACATTTCAAATTTGGTCACTCTCCGTCCAACTCCGTTAATTTTGTCTGATGTGGCAGTCAACTCTTAAAGTTGACTGTTAACTTTAAGACGTGGCAATTAAAATTAATAAATAAAATAATATTTAATCTTTTACAACTTCCAACTCATTTTCACCATAAAATAAAATAAATAAAACAAAAAATATATTGCAATTACCAAATTGAAATTTCTCTAAGCCCCAACACCCTAATTTGTAATTTCTACTTCGGGGTTTTATCACATCGCCCAATCTCCATTGAAACCTCACCCGTCGCGGCCGTCACCACCACTACCGTCGGCGGCCATGAGTCTAGTTGCAGGCTCCAAAGTTAGGTAACCAGTTCGCGGAGCGAGAGCGAGAGCGAGAGCGTGAGAGCGTTTTGGTGAACCAGTTCGAAGAATACTTGCGCCACTTCAGCAGCTGTGTAAGGATGAGAAAGAGCAAAGAAGTGGGCTGTTTTGGTGAACCTGTCCACCACCACCAACAACACTTGTTTACCTTGAGAAACCGACAACCCTCCTACAAAATCCATACTAATATCACACCAGGCACGAGTATGGATGGGTAAAGGCTGAAGAAGTCCTGGTGAGGCAAGATTTTCAGACTTGCATCGCTGACACACTTCGCATTCTGAAACCCACTGAGTGATGGCAGCCTTCATACCTCGCCAAAAAAGTAGGATTTGAGTCGCTAGTATGTGCCCTAAGCACCCGAGTGCCCCCCTACGGGAGAAGATGGAATAGTCTGATCAACTTGGCACGCAAGAAACCCGTAGAGCCCACCACAATAGCTCCTCTGTATCTATGTATGCCAGCCGAGAATGACCACAAAGAGGGTCCACAATTATTCACCGCAGCAGCTGCAATCAACCCTGCAAATTCAGTATCATTCTCATAGGAATGTTCAATCTCAACCAACAATTCAGGAAGCACCGATAACAGCGCGTTGCAGCCCCCCTCAATCTCATCTTCAAACACTCTAGACAACGCATCTGCAGCCCCATTATAACGCCCTTTCCTGTATTTGATCTGGAAGTCTAATCCCATGTGTTTGACTAACCCTTTCTTCTGGATGGCTGTATGCACCTTCTGGCCCATGAGAAACTTCAAACTTTCATGGTCCGTTAGTATGGTAGATGAACGACCCTCCAAGTAATGCCTCCAATGATCTACTGCCATCAAGACAGCCAAGTACTCCTTTTCGTAGGTACTCAGCCCTTGATTCCTCATGCTAAGGGCCTTGCTGTAAAAAGCTAAGGGGTGGCCGTTTTGAGACAGTACTGCTCCCGCACCCGATCCACAAGCGTCGGTCTCCAAGGTACAAGTTTTTGTGAAGTCAGGCAAACCCAGAACCGGGGCTTGACTCATGGCTGTCTTGAGAGTTTCAAAAGCTTCTTCTGCTGCAGATGACCAATGAAACTCATTCTTCTTAAGAAGCTCAGTAAGTGGTCGACTTATAATACCATAGTGCTTAACGAACTTTCAGTAATAGCCTGTCAAACCCAGAAAACCTCGTAACCCTTTAACTGAGGTGGGTAGTGGCCAAGACTGCATTGCAGCAACTTACTCGGACCCGTAGAAACTCCCTCCCTGCTAATGATGTGACCAAGGTATTCCACAGACTGCTGCCCAAACGAACATTTGGAGGACTTAGCATACAACTGATGATCTCGTAGGAGCTGAAGAGTGATGGTTAAATGCTGCACATGCTCAGATTCTGATTTGCTGTAAACCAATATGTCGTCAAAGAACACAAGAATAAACTTCCTCAGGTAACTGCCAAATACATGGTTCATGAGAGCCCGTAACGTTGCAGGGGCATTAGTCAAGCCCGAAGGCATAACTCTAAACTCGTAATGCCCTTGATGAGTTCGAAACGCCGTCTTAAACTGATCCGCATGGTGCATTCGCACCTGATGGTAACCAGCCTTGAGGTCCAGTTTTGAAAACAGAACTGCCCAATGTAATTCATCCAATAAGTCTTCTATATGAGGAATAGGAAATTTATCCTTGATGTGGCTGAATTAAGCTCATGGTAATCCACACAGAACCTCCAAGACCCATCCTTTTTCCCAATCAGCAGAACCGGTGAAGCATAAGGGCTGTGGCTTTCCTGTATGAAGTTAGCTTGAAGCATCTCGACAATCAATTTTTCTGCCACAACCTTTTGGTGATGAGGAAATCGATAGGGGCGAATGTTGATAGGTTGAGTATTAGGAAGTAATGGTATGGTATGATCAAAGGGCCGAGAAGGTGGTAGTGTGGTGAGAGTGGCAAACACATCATGAAACTGGTCAAGAAGGGGTTGTAAGAAAGCTGGAGGGGGAGAAGGGTCAATAACAGGTGCCAAGGAATAGACAGCACCGGTAAGATGTGCTTGGGGTCTTTTTAATAGCTATTGAAACTCCCTTCCAAATATCAACTTGCACTGCCCTTCCTTAGTGAGCCCCTGCAATGTGAGTGTCCCACCCTTCCATTCAAAAGCCAATTGTCTCTTCTTCAGGTCTACTTGAAACGGGCTAATGATTTCTAACCAATCCCATCCCAATACCAGATCATGTGCAGGCAACTCAAGAGTACGAACATCAAACCCAAACTCCTGCCCTTGCATTTTCCAGATAAAGCCTTTGCAAACCGAATTTCTCAACAAAGTATGACCACTTGCTACCTTAACACGCATGGGAGCTATAGTTTCTGTCTTACAATTAAGTTCTTCAGCCTTAAGGGAGTTTAAGAAGGTATGAGAACTACCTGTATCAATGAGAACAGTAACCTCTCGTTTCCCGACAGTAGCTGGAATGAGTAAAGAATTACCGGTGAAACCAGACACCATAGTCTGGAGAGTCACTTCCAGCTCAGCATCCTGGAAATCATCATCTTGTTCATCCTCCTCGCTATACGAAGAAGATGCTTCTGCTTGCATTACTTGGATTTGCTTCTTCTTAGAACATATATGACCATGGAAATATTTATCCCCGCAATTATAACAGAGACCTTGACCACGAGGAACCGAATTGCGATCATGAGAATGGGAAGTTGGAAGAGGCGATTCCCGTGGCAGAGACTTACTCGACCGGGTAGAGGACGGGCCAGTCCAGTGACTGGAAGAGAGATTCCCAGTTTTTCGTTTGTGAGCTTCAATGGCGGACTCTTCCAATCGAGCTTGATAGAAGGCGCAAGCTAACATCGGTGGATGCAAAACTTGGACACGAGGCTGTATTTCATCGTCGAGCCCGCCAAGGAAGCTGAGGATGAAGTAGTGCTCGTTGAGTTCTGGATTCAAGCGAAGCATCCTGGAGCGAAACTCCTCGAATTCTTCCTGGTAACGAGACACAGAACCAGTCTGCCTCAACTGATTGAAGGCGGCCACCACATTCAACTTCCCTTGATCATCAAACCGGTGGAGTAACTCGTCGACGAACTGCCCCCCCCCCCCCCCACTAGTTGAAAACGACGAAAAGACCATCCTTCGAACCAAGTATGAGCTCGGTCTTCAAGATAGTAAGAAACAAAATCCACCTTCTGGTCTGCGGCATTCGAATAAAGCTGGAAGAGTTTGTTGCACTTGCTCACCCAAACATGAGGATCGGAGCCGGAGAAATAGGAGCACTCCAGGCGAGGATAGTGCTCCAAGAGAGATTGACGCCGCGGGGAGGACGGAATTGCTGATGACCGAAGAAATGCTCAGACTCTGCTTGCTGGCGATCTCGCACCGGTGACTTCTCGCGGAGGTGTGCCAAAGATGCAGTGAGCGCATCAATGTTCGCCTTCGTCGACGAAGCGAGAGAGGCGATTGCGTCCTTCAAGTCCTGGTGTTGCGAATCAATTTTCGACTGAACTGCCGCCATCTGCGACTCCAAGTAAAAAATGCGAGAGGTGTTCGTCGCCATGTTTGCCAGATTGCAGGCTCTGATACCACTTGTAAGGACCTTCAAAGGAAATGGTGAGCGACGAAGGAGAGTTCTAGTTTTATTGCTAACATGCTAATTTGGTAAAGTAGTTACAATTGACAGGTTGGCAAAAGATAACCAATAGTAAAGTGAAGCTCTCCTATTTATACACGCCTCTCTGTACATGTCACTGGCCAACTGGGTTGCTACACCAGCTCTCATCTCAACCGTCGCCGTCGTTTTCCCCTCGCCTCCGTACTACCCTCACAAATTGCTGGAGAAAGGCTCCGATTTCGACCCCGTCATGGGCGGGCCTGGGAGCCCTTTTGGAGAAATCCTTCGATTCTGACCCGGCTTCTTCAGCTCCCCTCTTTCGAAATCCCTCTGGGTTCTTCAGCGCCCCCTTTCAATTTCGTAATCATAATAATTTTTCATGTTTTATTTTTTTTACTTTATTGTGAAAATGAGTGAGTTGGAATTTGTAAAAGACTAAAATTTATTTTATTTATTATTTTTAATTGCCACATCACTCAATTAACGTTAAATTTTGAGAGTTGACTGCCATATCATACAAAATTAACGGAGTTCGACAAATGAGTGACCAAACTTAAAGCTTTAACTAATCTTAGTGACCATGGATGGAATTAAATATTTTTAGTGACTAAAGGTGAACCTTTTTAGTAAACCTAGTGACCAAT